GAAAATGAAAGAAATGGAAAGGAATAGTAAACACATTGGAAACTTAGTAGTTTGGAGAACCATGTCACATAGCCGAATACCACGCAATTACGAAACTACGGCACCCTTTTATGTAGAGCGTTAGGGTATAACATACAGTGCGTCTCCCAATGATACTGCCAGCCAAGCCAACTTTGACTTGGCTACTCTTTTCACGGAAAAAATGTCCCGGTTTTTGTGAAGGTTTCTTTCCAAAAACACTGCCATTTTCATTTTTAGCTTAAGAGGGAACTTAGAAGTTCTTCACTACTTACCAAGCACTATGCAGTAGGAGATTAAGTTCGGAAGAAGCCTCTAATTACGAGGACGGCTTTATGAAATTGGGTGTTATTTTCATAATTCCGCATTAATCTTGATCAACAAAGCAAAGAGGGGCTTTCAGAGCCATTTCCAGCTTTATTTCCTACGGCATAAAAGGATAAGGATAAAGCATTTGCCGTTGATCAATCCCGTTTTGGGATGCGGCACGCATTCTACTTCCATTTGTACATTCGCAGTGGCATTTGAATGCGATGTGGCCTATACAATGACTTGCGGGGGCCAGCTGTTCGAGTCAGTGTTTTTTATCCTCCCAGACTTTGTCTGGTACCAATTACCCGACCCCGGAGGGATGGAATGCGTTGGCCCGGGCGACTCACGACCCAGGATTTGATCCCGGACCGCTCGCGTCGTGAGCGCGCCACTTGTCACTGCACCACTTCCGCCCCGGCATGCAAGAAGAAATTGTTCATCATTTCGCAGCTTTGATTAAGTTCCGCGCAATGTGACCGGTGGCGCTTATTTTTTTCTTTTTTTCTGCGACCATTTGCTCTTTTTGGGACAACAAAACAACCAACAAACCAACAACTGCTTTCCTTTAATGGTGACCTAGAAAAGAGAAATTGATGACTCCCATCAAATTTCGTCAAGCAAAAATGAAATGCAACGAAAAAAACACGGGTGGCTGTATCATTTGGAGACGTTGGAAAAGCGATCCTATCTGTAAAAATTAGAATAAAATTTTTTCGCATTTCCAAACTGAAATTTTGCGTTGATTATCGAATTCGCGACCAAATTTGGCGCATTTTCCTGTTGAACATTTTTCTAGAAACTTTGTGGAATTCGAGATTTTGAAGAATTTCTATAGGTGGCTGTATAATTAGGAGACGCAGTGTATGTTGATCTTTCGCGCTGGGTGAGCGCGACAAGGCAGCATTGGATTGACACTTTTGCTGTACTCACGAAATTTTTGCTTCTGATGCAAAATCAAGACCGTGAGAGCAGCACACGAAGTTTTTGCGGTGATAAATCGAGTAAAGAGGCCATGTCTTGCATAATACTGTGTACACTGATCCTGGCCAAAGCGTTTTGGGCACACAGTAGAAATTTGGATGAGCTCGTCAGGTATTGCAATGCGTTGTGTTCTACCCTGTCGAACAGCCATCCTTCTGAACATCTTACAAAGCGATAGTATTCCTTCTGCTGAATATGCCTTTCAGTGACTCGTTGCGGCTGCATCTAGCAAGTGAAGGCCGATAGGTCAAAACAGGCAGTAATATTGAGGTTAACATTCCTGTACATCCCTCTAGGTACTGAGCCCAAGACTGCTTTCATTTTCTGTCCCTCACGTGGAGCTGTTCCATGAGGGCAGCGTTAATGATCCAAGTTAACAAGCAAGAGGTTACGCTTATGCCACTGTCGCACTGAGAAACCATTAAGGAAGGAGAAAATGAGGAATGCCTAGCAGAGTCTCCTGCAGGGCACTTCAGGGAAGCTTTAGTTGAACAATATGTTCAAATTCTGTTGAAAATTCACAGTTTGTCATCCATACTAAAGATATCGTAATATCTTTGTGTAATACCCGAGAACTATCGACCTGTGGTCACCATGTCACTGGTATGTATGTAGACCATTTGAGTCTTGAAAGTCATATTACTCACTTTGTTGTTTGATCATATCATTCCAAAACAACAGCACGGTTCCATTTTTCTGATCTGTTCAAAAAACCGACTGCAATTCGTAACAGCATTTGATGGTCTCATATAAGAAACCAATTTACAAGTTGGAAGCCATTAGATTTTATCCTCTCATCAAATGGTATCAAAATGCTCCTGATTTATGTAGATGACTGCGAGAAGCTATTGACCTCACGGTGAATTGATAAAGAATGCGATTGTCCATGGCTCTAGAAATTGTGCACACGAATGATGCTGGACCACAACCACCCTTAAAAACAAGGAACGGGATCGCACTTCCTGTAGCTGAATCAAGGATTATCCCTCACTCACAGTCTTACAAGTCCCTTTCTGCCTCTGATGGAACTTAACACTATGGTATTCAGTCTTCGTAAAATGAAAACCATACAGGTCAAAAGTGTTGACGAAACGGGTTACCGTGCTCCTCATTATTTTTGTCAGACTAAACCAAAGGGTGGCCTTGAATTTTTTTCTTCGTTTGAATATGATTCCTTAAAAATTGAGGATATGAAAACACTAGAAAACATAGTAGCAATCTGTGGAGGGCGTGTTCAAGCGAGAAAAAATCATGCACGAAAAATCCGGCAAACACTTCTGACCGCTTCTGTATACTGCTACTGAAAAGATACTGAGTAATTTACTTCTTACTAACTTATTGATTGGCACCAATTTCTGAGACACTTTCGAGGTTTTTCGATTTTATTACTTATTTTATTCCTACAATATATTTATTCAGCAGGGTATACATCAGCATCATTAGTATCGTATCACCAACGCCAGGGTGTGAGTTCAGTGTCTCTCTTATCAAATTCCATTGAGCCCTGATCGTAAATTGGACAGCGATTTTGACATCATGGTGATTAAGTAAGTCTCCACAAGATGGACTAGGCAGGCAAGCAGGTGGCCCATCGTCGCATGAAGTTAGGGCTACACGGCGGAACTGGAAATTGTATGTACAAGAGTCTCCGATTTTTCATGGATTTTCTTATTTTGCAAGGTGAGGTCAACGACTCTTGCTTCGCTTTCAAATTGAACGCGTCGCCATTCTGTCGACGTTTATCTTCATCACTACCACTTGCATTATTTGGCGTCGCTATCCAGCGCAAAGCCCCTCTTGTGTTCAGCCAGCGCTCGGAAGGATCGAATTTGGAAGAGGTTAGGCGTTCGCTGCCAGAACTTCTGAATCGTTGAAGCTAGGCTTCTCCCGCTTGTTTGTTTGTTAGAACATTGCACCCAGTCTACGCTATCGCTGAGTATGCTGGATGACCAATCAAGGAACCACGGGGAACTAATAGGTGAATGACGATGTCAGGTCATGTTTGAAGTTTATTTGAGCTCAGAGTAACTGCATTTTGCACACCATGTTTTTAAACCTTAACGACTCCATTCTGATGTCTCAGTATTCCCAATTTGTCACATCAGAGGTTCGAAAAAGAGGTTTCGAACAAATTGGGATCTAATCTAAAAAAAAAGCGGCAAGCAAACGAAATGGCTTGTCTGTCGGATAGCCGAGCTTGTGTGCTGACTTGCAAAAATTTTGGAAAGCTCGTGTCACTCACAGACAAGTAGTGCTTGAACTAAGAGAATCTGCTTGCAAACTCTTCGTAGATGTAGCGCTGGGCGACCGTTGATGGAATAACGGATTCAAACAGGCTTTTCAGCCATGATGGAAAAAAGTCAAAACACCAAACCCCGTGAGGAATCGAACCAACAATTCACTACGTGAGAAGCAAGATCGCTACCACCTGCGCCACCGAAGCTCACTTCATCTATGCCTCGATTCTCCTTTCGATATTTCATAATGCAGCCAACATGTGATTGCAGGCGAGACATTGAAAATCAAGGCCGGCAACAAAAACCCTCCGTAACTCCTTTCAGAGAAGAGTTCAGCAGATGGAAAACAGATTTGAGCTGATGATGCGTACAGAAATGTGCACCTCATTTCATTTGGCCGGGTTGGCCTAATGACCTTTCGTGGTTAGTGCCAGTGTGGTGCATATTCGACCCTAAGAAGAGCACGTTGGAGCCTCTTCGGAAGTCTCCGTCCTACACTACAGAAAACCAGCCCACCTGAATTTGCTGGATGTGCCGTGCCTTTTATCCAGCTTTTGAATATATTCCTACCACAAATGATCGGCACTCATAAGCTCTTAGCTTACAGCTTCACGGTTCATTGCCCATGTCGACTAGTCCACTCATTATACGTGCTTCATAGAAGTAGGTAACAGACTGGTATTGTTAGAAAGACCATGCATTCAGAAAGGCCAGAGGGCATGTCTGTGAGTATGTGCAGTAGTGCTGTGCTAAATTTTTCCGTGTACCTTGGGTGTGCAGAAGTGGTGATCTGTACCTTCTCTTTCAAAGAATAAGAACAGTGCCGGGTGCAGACCATACATCATAAGTGACGGACGGCCTCCAAGTAAATCTGGTTAGTAGTAGTTCATAGTGATAGCCGATTTTTGATAAATTATAGTTGAAAATAGTGACAACTGATAGACAACAGCAACAGGCTAATTATTTAATAGGCAGAAAACATTTACATTTTGTGGAGGCCGTCGTCACTTGTGGTGCATGGTCTGCACCCGACGCTTTATCGTTTTTTGAAGGAGAGGGTACACATTGTTTATTGCATGTTCCATTTCTTCTGCTACGGTAACTTTTGTACTTATTTTGCTTCCCTCCCATAGCGCTAATGGTAACAAGGAGGTGCAGATCAATAAATGTATAAGAGGTGATTGAATGGCTCGTTTATTGTTAACGAAAAACAAAATTTGGCAACACAACACAATTTTGTAAGCTAAGAAATGTTTGCTCCACGAGCACAAGATATTTTACGGATGTGAACATCCATGTTGCGAAGTCGTTTTTGATCACAAACTATGGAAACCTGATAATTTCTGTATCAGTAGAGAGCATAGGACTCCAAGAGCTGACGATTAATTTACAGCGAAATCCTTACGAGAGGAGCAGTTAACGAAAATAATGTACAATTTTAAAGCAACGAAATCAAGAATGAAGCTCACTAGCTTCACATGTGCTCTCAACCTGTACGCGATTGTCACCTTCTTTGATGACGGTAACCTTTTCAAACGAAGAGTCCATAGGCATGTCTTTGCGAGAATATTCTTTGTGAGATACATACCCAGAACCCTAAATCTCTCTTGATTGGTTTTGATTCGTCGTAGTTATATCTATATGCAAAAGTAAATAAATGAGAGTCTCGCAAGATAGTAGTGCATCTTACGTCAGTACTTCGGTAGGATCCTTCCCGACCTTGGTTGAGCGAATTCTTGGTAAACCTTAAAAGAAGTAAATTAATGTACATATGTAGTGAAAGGACTGTTGGGTTTGATTATTCGATCGCTTGGGATGATTATGCGGTTTTCCATCACAGTATTTTTTAAAAGCCAAAGTTCGGGCTCAGACCCATCCAATAAGCCAGCCCTTAAAGTGGCTAGGCATGGGACGTAGCTGCAGGCGACTCGCCAAGTTCCCGCATCCAAATGCGTCACTAAGGCGCTAGGAGCCAAGGACTTTGACACGCTCCTCCTGTTGCGACACGCTCCGCCCACCGCTCGATATCTTGTCTGCCTCGCTAACTTGATCTGCTATGCTCTCACTTCTCGGATTTCTCTACCGCTCTCCGCGCTCACATTATCTCTCACCTCCCTGCCGGCCTTTTGAACTTCTCCACAACCTAGAGCAAAAGGCTCGTTTTTCCTGTCTACTTCAAGATTTTCCTTCCTTTTTTCTCCAGTGGCGGTCACCCTCCCGCCCCTACATCACATTTGAGTAGAGTTACCTCATCGGTAGCTTGAATCTTGCCTATAAAGGCATACCCCAGGATCAAATTGGTGCGGACGAATAGGCACAAATATGGATTTATTGATACGAAATGGGGAGAAAAGGTAACGAACCCATCATAAACGCTCAGGTTGAGTGCTCACTCACCATCGCAATTAGCTGAACTAAGTCAATGAGAGACTAAGCGCGCGGAGGAGAGTGTGTGGTGAGAGAGGGTGACAGATGAGTGGGCGCCAGGCAATAGCGTGACAAGAGAAGAAAGATTGCAGCTGCAGCAGCTTACTTTGCAAGGTCCTAGCGCTCTAATCGGTTGATTTTCGTGCATGGAACTGCCGCATTTGTGACTGACCTGTAGGGATCTATACTACAGACCGAAGGGATTCGTTCACATAAATGTCTGGGTTGTGCCTTTGAGGCGTATCTCACGTATCTCGTATTTCTAACAAGAACTAAGTACAATCATATTGACGCGACGAAAAGGGGATTCTACAGTCCACCGTACGTTTACATTGTGTTTTATAACATGGGAGGGAAAGCTCAACGCCAAGACACAGGAAAATCTAAGGCTATGCTGCAATGTATCTTGTAGACCGCAAACAATTACATGTACAGATACTGTAGGAAACAAGAGATTCCACAACCTCTGCGCTCAGCCTCGTTACTGCCTCATTCTCCTCGATGCACGTATACATGCAGCTTGACATTCGCGCCTGACATTCCCTTTTGATCCGCGCTATGCACAAGAATGAGTCCTGATTCGCTTGCAGGACTCACTGTTCTCGAAACATCATCACTCTTTTACTTTATTGTAAAGTATGGGTAGCACTATAATATGTTGAAATCGAACCATATGCCAAAAAGGATTTTGTCGAGTGCTATCCTCTAAAAATCCAGAGTTCTGAGCAACCACTGGGATTAAATCTTTTTTTGTTGGCAAAGACGAAAAATCGTAGTCTTCAGGAAGTGGGAGTCATGTTGAAGCAGAGATATGTGCATTCAAAATTCAAGGGTTGGAACCACATGACCATTCCAAGCGACTAGAGATCGTGAACAAATCAAAGAATGCTGGAATTACCTTGTATGGAAAGAAACGGGCGTGGTGGCATGTCCCTTTATCCTCGGTGGCCGGGATATTTTTTTGCATGTGATCACATGCACGCAAATCCGACGAATATTAGGATTAATCAAACAATAAAAATAAAAGTTTAAAGCAAATTTTGTGAATTCGAGAAGGTTGACAGTTGCTCGAAAAATCTGAAACAGAGCAGGTATGAACGAAGAAAAGGCGTCACTTTAATGGTTTCAGTAACATACTTGAAAGGGAAGATTATCTGATCTATTATCTGCGACAAGGATCGTTAGAGGCGCTGCTGGTATAGTACACATGAAGAAGACGATGATGATGGCGAACAGTAGAACAAACAACCGTTTCTCCTCCTAAACAAGTAAAACAAGTAAGTGTACACAAACCTATCCACTGCAGTGGTCATTAATCACATTTTTTGTTTTCACGAGTTGAAAACGCCTGACAAAGACCTAAAAGGCAGGTAATCTTCGCCGCATCACCATGTACGTCCAAATGATGCTGTGCTGCAAGTGCACCCTTCTGGCTCTATCGCATCTCATCCCATCGCCGTCAGAATCTTAACTGTAGCTCAATCCTCGTGGTAATCTCACTCACTTCCAGATCAAAGCAGAGGGGGAATCATTTTTGGACTTTCGCGTTTTTATGATGAATTGTAGCTACGCCGTGCGCTCGACTTCCAGCGGCATCCAGCGCAAGTCGCGATTCCTTATGAACAGGTTGTGTGTGCCTGGGTGTCCCCCAAGAGGCCCGTCGCGCGGCGAAGGAAGAACGCAGACGGCAAGGGACGAGGGGTAGCGCGTGCTGTGCGATATGGGACGTAGTATGGTACATTCTGTTTAACCTGACGCCTAACCGCTACAGTGTGCGGTGCGACTTGTCCTTGCCGCGCGACGGGCCTTTTGGGAGACATCCTGTTCGCCCTTATGGAAACTCAGTTTTCCTTGAACCAGGTACGGTCAACCTCGTCGTGGACACCTTGACCCATGCTTGACCCTGGAGCTTGTCGTTGGAAGTTCCTAAGCTCTCCAAAGTTGTGATCAATTAGATTTGAACAGATTGAACGCCCTTGATGAACGCAAACGTAGCACTATGAAAACTGAGAAATTCTTGGCAAATCTTCATGGATGACCAGGAGTTCATTCAAAAAAGTTTTACAAATTTTCTACCAGCTCCAAAAAAGAAGTAACGTTTGTGGAATCTAAACGACAGATTTTCGAACAGGTAGGAGTAAAAGCTTGAGCAAAAAAACCACAATGTTGCTGCCAGTTGTCCGTTCAGCACAGTAGTTGAACCCGGGTAAGAAATCAGTCGTTTTCATCGCATACAAGTTGTAGGTAGGGCGGACGACACTTCGGAATGGCCATTTTGTGGGGCAACTTCTTATCGAAATCTTTGGGTTTTTCACCATCCCCGTGTGCTTGTGGACCACAGTTATACATACATAATCAGAAAGCGAGCTCCAACAGTTTTGAGCGGTCCTTTCCTGCTTGCTTCGAGTTGAAACAAGACTGCATTTACGGGTTTTCGCTCTGGGAACCTCATAAATTTGAAAAAAAAACGGATGATCTGTACCGGAAAAAAACTACGAAACCTTTGTATAGAGCAAGAGCCTTTCTTTCAAATAAATGCTATGTAACTTCAAAATTCTAGAGACAAGACATTCAAAATTGGAAATCGATTCACAAGAACTTCCGAACGAACTATCATTCAGTCACATGGTTCATGGCGCACACTTTATTGAACCATAGATTACCTTCTCGCTCTTCTCGAACAGGAAACGTTTTTGAGAGACTGACATCCTCTGCATTCGATCTTTCTTTGTGTTTCTAAAAAAGCATTGAAGAATGGAATAAACAGGAAACTCCATCTACTAAAACAGCACACATACCTATAGGTTACGAGTATTCTGGCATTCATGTAGGCCACAAGAAAAAATGGAAATACTCGACTGATGAGCTCTCGAACGGCTTCGTAAATTGTGAACCATTGAGCTCTTCTAGTATCACAAACGAGGAATGGACAAAGATCTGCCGGGAAATCCTTCTGAATATACAGAAATGATTTCTCAGTATGATTTCCTAGGTTCGACCGTAAGCGCGTTCGCGGTGGGGCGCGCAGTGCCACACGTTTTCAATTTGTTTTCGTCGTTTTGTCTGTGCACTCCACGACGATCGTCACGATGATGATGTGGTCGTCAGCTGTACGGAGCGCCATCGCTGCACAAAGTGGAGTATGGAAAGGTGACGGTTCTGCTGCAGGCAACTGCCGTCTCAAGGATGCGGCGAGGCGGGTGCAGAATTTTGGAGGGCTGCCTCCGTGTGGTCGCGGAGAAAAGTGTCATACTGTCTAAGGCTTGATCCCGACCAAAGTATCGGTGTACCCGTGGCCTGTCCGATTGCGCGCTCCGTGCTCGACAACGCGCCCCAGTGCAACGTGATTACGGTGGTACCTAGGAAGCCAACTGATAAATCGTTCTTGTTCTGATATTAAATTGCTTTGAAAATGTTCAGAATCGTTTTCTTGCGGTTTGAAACATCTGCAGTATTCGTACGATATTGCCATATTTGCGGGTGACTTACACCTCTAAGTCTGTTTTTATGATCTGCACCCCGAGGGAACACCAATACACCACTGATGTTGTAAGAATACTTTACCACAACAGCTTATCTCGCCCTTATTACTACTATGTGAAATTGGATCCTGAAGGTGGAGATGTAGTGACGGCGAAACGGTCCCCATTTCCCCACAGCAGTATGTCCCCAACTCCCACTGCCCTCTCTGAAAAATCTCGATTACGATCCCTTTTTCTTCACTACCAAAACACAGAAACCAAAGCGTAACCCCCCCCCCCTCCCAGAATTCCAGGGAGCGGTAATATTAGTGAGGAACTATTTCCGCTTTTTGCCCTTGGTACAACGAGGTTGACGCTGCACACGTGTAACTTACAATGCACTGTCGCGCAGCTATGAAGACTGCCGGTGATTAGTCATGCTATCTCAGGGTGGGGGATAGGCTATGTTTTTGAAAATGCTTCGGTCTTTTTCCTCGTAATCGAATAGTTACCATTCACTCAAGGGAAGAACTGACGATTAGAAGGCACGCCAACGGTATTGAGGTAGAGGTGATCAGTGCTACCGGGTTGAAGAAAAACCATGAGAAACGGCTAAGAACTGAAGAAATGAGAACTCTTCCTTGTCCTTTGATTTCCGCATGGGTGCAGTTCTCATCGGTGTTGCCCTCTTCAACGGTAACGCTCCCTCTTCTGAATGACTAAAGACCTGCAGCGAGCGATTAGCCAGTCGGTGGGCGTGCCGCGCCGGTAACGCTTCGGGGAGGGCTATGCTAGATCACTGGGGACATATCTTTTGTTACAAATTGCGTTTCTGTCCGCACCCTTAGGATGTGCGCCTGTCTTCCCACTAAGTTGGTTTCCCCTTCTCCGATCAACGATCTTATCGTAGAATCCTCTTTCAAATGCAAGCATGGCAGCGTGGCGACATATCCTTCAAAATACCAACCTCCTAACACGTTTACATGGCAGCCGGCATGAAACGACGTAGCCTGCAGGAGGGACAGATTTTTGAATACTGCTGCGTCTTGAGGCGAATACATCACATATAAACAGGGGAGGGAGGCAAGCATGACGCTTGCCAGCAAAGTCTACGGGTGGGAGATAAGTGGGAATTCCGGGAAGGATATTTCTGACTTTTCGTCATCAGCCTGAAGCAGCTTTCAACATCGTCGACAGATACGGTCAGAGCAGTGACCGTGATTATGCAGGCTCTGCACCTTGGAGTAGGATGACGTCACATTGCTTTGTGATAACAGTGCAATCTTCCATACTGGTAAACCTGCCGGGTGCTGGAATGGTCTGGAACCTCTTAAAGGAATCTTGCGCGGAAAATTCTTGCACTCTTTCCTAACATGAATATGTCAGTTGTGATCACTGGAAATAGCACACAAAGTTTCACGCATGAAGGTTCGGTTTCTGAAGAGAAACAAACGTACAAAAAGTACACGTTATCGACCATCGAAGGACCAGGAGACAGAGCCAGGCGAGGCATGGAAAGAAGACGGCGTTTGGCCGGCTACGTACCAGGCGACGCAGTGAGAGAATCGGGTTAAAGCACGCGATTTCGGAGAGTGGAGACAAATCGATCGATGGAGTAGGATGGAGTAGAAGTGTAAGATGTGAACGCAACAAAGCAGAAGGCCAGAAAGAGCTTCTAGTGAATGCACTCCAAGATTCAAGTTTGAGCATCCCCGTCGCCAGCATTCTGAAAGACGTCCGTGGGCAATTCGAACGCGTAGCAGCCTTTTCGAGTTTTCGAATTTCTAATCAAATCAAAAGCAATACTTCGGTTCTTTTTACTATTATCGTGGATAATGAGACTCAAGCCAGTGATTTATGGCTGAAATAGAATCATGATTTTTCCGCGCAGGATTCCTTCAAAGCAGTAAGAGTAATCCTGTGCTCATGCAGCCCATACTGAAATTGAACGCTTACTACACCTGATGACTCAATAGCGCATTTAAAGGCATTTAAAGGCAGCGATTAAGATAAAGAGAGAGCGCATCGGGGAAGTATATGCACCACACGAATCAGATACTTGGCTGCCAACGAAGCGAGGTGTGGCGCTGTCACGACGGAAAGTTCGCTGGTTGCTGAGCAAGACTTCGTAAGCACTCCGCCAGCAAGCGATCCGCGCACTAGCTTAGTTGGTGATTCGGACGAGCTGCGCTGCCAGCAGCAACACAATTGGAGCAACTCCATTGGAGTGTGGTTGGCATGGTGTTACCAAACACGTTGCGCTGAATTCGCTCATACGCCCGCTTCCTGAACTGTCACTTGCTCATGAGTGAAAACCAACGGCGAAAAAAAGGAAGTCCCATTTTGCATTTTTTCGACGAATATCTCCGCGTTTTTCGCCACCGCGTACCATTAGGCACCCCACGTCTCCTTCGAGCCCTTCTTGAAATTATCGCAATCGCTGCCCTTAACCCAGTCACTGGGCTTCAGTGTGTTGGACTTTTTATTATTTGAAAGAAATCCTGTAAGAGCCTAGAAAATTCGCAAAGCTGCAGCTCACCTCTCCAGCAATTTGTTTCAGGTTGTGGACCTCCTTTTTTACAGCCCATGGCGCGTAAATGAGAAAGTTGAGCATGTATGCGAGAGCGAAAAGAATGAAGCAAACTCTCCGTGACCTAAATTACAGAAGAGTTAGTCACAGTTCCTGTATTGTAATTCAATTGATCTTTAATAGCGTACCGTAGTCCATACGCAAACGGACGGCAAACAGCCATGTATTGCGACAGAGTGAGGAATACAACTATCCATACAGACGCTCCCATAAGCGCATTAGACTAAATAATTCCTGAGTATCTTTTGCAAGTAATTCACAATTTTCATTTTGCATGCTTTGAATTCTGTTGATTTCCTCATATCTTTTCTATAGGTTTCACTGCAATCGGGGACAGAACTTGAACAGGCTGTGGTACAGCTGAACTGCAGCAGATGGTTTGTGCCAGTTCGTAGGTGTGTTCTAGGCAGAGAGTGATGCGTTCACCTCGATGGCGCAGGACACACAAATCTTGTAACGCGGGCTTCATGCAGAGCTTTGAAACTGATTTCCTCGCTCGTTTCCTGAATTTTTTAGGCCCATGTGATTACCTTCTTTTCTGATCTCTTCCGTGCCGCAAAGGTTCTCTATGTAAGGAGTCGTAACCAACAATAAGTTAAATGTGCATCCTTATTGATTTTGTCATCTTTTTGAAGGAAATTTTTTTTCGAAGTAGCGCGGTCCTTTTCGTAGACTGACACCCTGTCAGGTGGGTCTGAAGTTTGAAATAATTATAAGGGTAATGCTAGATTGTCTCAAAAATTGGCGCCACTTTCAGAAACTTTTTTGAGTTAGCATCATCTCAACATGGAGCAAATCCATCACCAACATGCGTGTGGGCCATTGCTATCAATGGCGTGTTGCTAACGATTCACCGGAGCTTTCAGTAGGTCCGCAGTCCCAAGCTAAAAAAAAGCAGCGAGGCCACTTTCGAGCTTCTCCATTGTCGCATCTTTTGCGTAAGATGGTTCTTTAGTAAGAAGAACAGTTGTCCTTCGGAAGGAGGCAGACCACCGCTACACGGTGGAACTCGTAGGACTTTTCAAATGAGCTTCGAAATGTTGGGATATGTCATAAGCAGGCAACCCAGTTCACACGTGAAGTCTAAGGAAAATTGGCTTCCATTCCTCAAGGTACAAGTACACCTGGATAGATTATTCTACCGTACCTGATGGTACCGAAAACCCAGTATTAAGAACGTACTGGTGCATTTTAGCTCGGTGCATCCCCGCAGAACAAAGCAATCTACCACATGTTATTTCAGAATTACGTAGTCTCTGTTGTCGTAAAGCGGATATACTTTACTGAATTTTGGGCGCATGATGGAGTTTTGTTTTGGTGGTGATGTCCGTTCCTCCAAGCGGTGCCACTGGAAACTGCTCACTTTTGTGAGCTGAGCCGACCACGGACATTCGAATGCAGGCGACAGGCTCCCGTGACAGGCCGGCCTACGAACACTCTAGTCACATCACAATGTCAATGTCGCTACAAGTATCTCGAGATAATGCTACGGCGGCTGCGGGAGCCGCAAAGCCGGCGAGTGTGAAAAGTATGCGGGTCTCCGGTGCAAGGACGGCATCGGGAGGCAACTAGGCTCGTCTAGAAGTCCACGTATGGAAGACTCGCGTTGCGACGTTAAATGTTGGCACGTTAACGGGACACTCGCACGAGTTAGCAGAAGTCTAGAGCGCCGAGAATTGATTTTTGTTGCCGTGCAGGAAACGAGATGGTCCTGCTGCAAGTCGAGGGACATGGCCGCGGCTCCAAAGCCGTTCTATGTGGCGGTCCCAGAACCACCGAGGGATGATTGTCTCTGAACGCCTTTCGTGATTCGATAGCAAGTGTGGAGCGCTTCGACGACCGTTTAGTGAAGATTGTTGTCGTCATGGAACATCAAAAATACCATTTCTTCTCTGCGTACGCTCCGCAGACTTTGCTCCGCCTACAAGCGGGACAGACGCTAAAGAATAAGAAGAAGAAGAAAAGATGGAGTTTTGTTTTGAGCTTTAGGCTTTGACAGCAGCAGACCTTGCCTGTTCCAAAGTCAAAACTGGGAAGAAGTTCCCAGCGGCCGATTCGCGGTTTGCGTTCACTACGTTTCCAAGTCGTTTTGCAAATTTGGCAATTTCCAGAACTCTTGATTGATCCGGCCACTGGGGCTTGGGTAGATGGTTAGCATAGAACAATCACTCAGCGTAGAGATTGAACAGTATAGAAGATGTTGACTGGACTCATGTTGCACTCTTGGACAACTCATGAGGTTCTTTGTCCAAGCCTCTGTAATTTCCAAGGAAGAAAACCTCTATCGATTGGGTGCCTGGAATGTCTGAGTGTGGCAGTCGTATTCCAGAATAACTCGTGCTGGTTGGCTTCAATGAGATAGGATAGCAGATAAATCGGACACCTATTGCGCTCCCAAATCAGAATTTTCTACATGGTGTAGTCTCCAAAGCGATGCAGGTTTGAGGGCTCTCATACAGCAAGGTAAATGAAGACAAGAAAATGTATCGCAAAGCAAATGTAGCTCCTGTCTTCGACCGATTTGTGACTCAGTAGAAGTTGAAAAAAATCAGAGGGTGAAAAACATGGAACTCTTTTTTTCATTTTATAGAAGAAAGCAGCTACAAAGGGCATGATTCGCGTATGGGTTGCTTGAGGTAGTCGGCTCTTCGTAGTCCACCTGGTCATATTTGAAATCGCAAAATAATTCCTGTTGTATCACTCGATTTAAAGCGATGAGGGTTAGAAGAAAAATTTCGGTTAAAAGCGGCTGTGTGCCTAGCGTTCAACTGGAAAGGCCAAATTGAAGAGGACTATGGGAAGGCTCCCCGATGATATTACAGAGGTTCTCCCGAAATTGCCTACGCCTATTCATTCAATGCGTTTTGTACTTACTTTTACTTTTAACATGATTATACTATCATTACATATAAGAGCATGCAACAAACAGACTTCAAGAAGTCCTCCACCTGCACGCATACAGGCGCGGAGTCTCTTCCTGCACCCTTCGCACTTTATGTGAAGACATTCCTTATCCAATTCTTCCCAGGCTTTCCTTGATGCTACTTGCAATGGCTGCAGGTTCGTATGACGAGCTCGACATGCCTTGCTCTTATTGACGGACCTGACTGAGAGTTCATCGATTAAGATTAGGCGACGAGGGCGATTCTCCTCAGCGACGGAGTCGGGCAGCTCACAGCTCGCCCTGCCTTGAGAGAGCTTCGCTCTCTGTGTTGGAGCACTCTCCTGCTATAAACTCCACGGCTTGCTTCCAAAGTGGGGCTTGGATGCACATCTTCGTTGATCTTCACTTCAGACTTTCCGTACAAACCAACGGCGCTTAACATTGGCCGCGAACCACCTTCAAATCATTGCTGATGCCGAGTTAGCCGTCTTTCCAAATACTTCCTCGATGGCACTCCCGATATTTCTGGCTGTGTATATGACTGTTTTGCCGTTTTGATACCGGCTTCGCAGCAAATATTTTCGGAAAAACGACCGAGTGAAGCGAGTTAACCAGTGAAGCGCGCTAGTATCCTCCCAATTTTTTGGCTTCTCTGCTGTTTGTTGCTTTTTAAAGCGAAATTGCACTCCTGCACATGACAGAACACGAAGGAGCGGCATTTGCGTGACAATGCGCCCCACTCCTGACTTCGATACAGTCAGCTCTCTTGCAATCCTCCTGAGAAAGTCCTGTGGACTACTAGCCATTCATTTTGATCACTCTATTTGCAGAAATGCAGGCCTTCTCTCCTTGTCCTTGTGGGGCACAAGAAACCTAGTAGTGCCCTTCTATGCATCCCTATTCAGCAAGTAATTTTGGAATACCTTGTAGCTCAATAATTAGGAAAGGTCGTGATCGAGTGCAGCACATATCACGGCCAATGGCCAAATACTGTATCGCAGATCATCGATCGATATCGATTGAAATCATCGCTTTGCGCAGTAGCAGACCTGGGCGTAGAAATTCTATGGGAATCTTCTGCCTTCTTTGATTCAATGTTGCTCTATACTGCGTTTCATAATGATACAGCCCCTACAAATTGCCTGAAAAGTAGAAATGCCTTCTAAAAAAACGTCCTAAAAACAATGTGGCACATTTGATCGTAAATTGAATAAGTTCAATCATCAACACAAAATCCCAGGTTGGAAAATATTTCATGCTCATTTGTCAGAGGCTGTGGGTTTTCCTATGTTTCAATGATAGAGTGAAATGTGTGGGCACTGGATCATACCTCGCCACAAAAATATCTGACAGACGCTCACCAGGGGGAATCCGATGTGAGCGTAGAAGAAGGAAGCAGCCGGAGAACATGCACGAATGTCAAGTAACCACATTATCATTGGCACCACTGAGAAGTGTGTAAACTAAATAATCTTCATTTCTCAGGTTTTGGCAACAGCACATATCATTACTACTAAACTGATTACTCCTAAACATTAAGCAAGTCCTGGTTAACGAATTCATGACGACGCCCCTTTACCACTTTTCGGTTGCGTGGGACGGACGCGATTTTGTGGGCGCCGCCGCCTCACCACATAACCGCAGATTTCGTTTTGTAAAACAAAAACATGAATGTCACAAAATAATTTCTGCAATGTCCAATGCGTAAAGATTATCTAAACATATAACAGTTGGATTTCGATCAGATTGACAAGTAGTGACTACGAAAAGACAACATTTATTCACTTTCCCCATGAAGGAATGTAAAAGCATTTTACACTCGATTACGAGGTTCGCCCACCTATCTGTCCATTCCTAGCGCCTGGCAGGCGATTATCAGTTGGCAGCCCATATGGGCGGCCAACAATGAATGTGTTAATATACACTGGTGTGCAAAAGTTAAGGCTGAAAGCAACCTATGTGTGAATTGTCACCGCTGAGTAACATAGCTTGACAAAATCTGCAACAAACATGGAAGAAACTACTGAAGTATACTACAGAGGGTTACTGACAGAAGCACGCAAGGACCAACCATCACTTTTCTTCAAGGACGGCGATTGCACTGAGGCCGTTGCAACTCATGATGACCTTTCAGGACTGGACGTGACTATTAATAGTTTGTGAGACCACCACGGATGGCAGTACATGCTTTGCAAAGCGCTATTATAGTGTTCACGAGGTTGGGATGTGGTCACACAATGTTCTCTACAAACCGAATAGGGCCAAGCACACCCACACACCCATAAGGAGACTCGTTGAATTAAGTGCAGCAAATAATATCGTAATAGCGTTGACTGGGAGAAAGTGTGATCGGTCGCACCACCACTAAAAAATGGAAATACTTACTACTTTTACTAGTTCATCGCAATATTATGTATCCTTGTACAAAACTTAGACTACCAAAAGACTTTTGTTTGGTTATGGCCCTGAGGCCTACGTCTTCCCACTTCTAGCCACATGAGGGCGAGTTCAGAATCGCCTCTCACGTTTATGTATTTATTACACGAGCAGATTCGTGCGTACTGCAGACCAAAACGTGTCCTAGAAAATAAATCGGAACTCACGAAACAACATAAAAGTGAAGAGAAATTGTAGAAACAACACAGAAAAGAGGTATGTAGATGCGAGGGATTATGGACTCAAGCAAGAATCCTATACTTTTTAACATTACGTACTGAAGCAATAATGTTTTAAAAATGTTTTGTAGTAGGCTGTTTATATCCGATGCTTCTTGCATGAATTTTGAACCAGGGGAAGCACCCTATGAGTAAAAAAATGACGCATACAGTTCAACTTGGCTCTACCAATATAATTTGAATCCATCGCCTCTTGTTATACAAGATCTTCGAGTCCAGAGTTCTTCAAGATCCAGCTTTATTTTGCCAAGCATTAATTTATGAAATAATAAGAGATCGTTTTTCCTACATACTTCTAAACTCCAAGGTTGTTAGACCCAAGTTTTTGTTTCTGAAAGCAGACAGGGGAATTTGATCATACATGAAGATAAGGACCCTAACCATTAGTTTCCTGGTAAAATTATTTAGTACGGCCTCTAGCTTTTTGATTGTCATGATTTTAAATGGGCTGAACAGGGAGGTGCCGTATTCTAGAACAGGTCTCACGTAAGACTTATACGATCGCAACAAATCGAAGGATTCCTAGTTGATAAAGCTCTGAATAAATTGTACATGGTTACTGTAGCTTTTCTAGCAACAACATCACAGTGAGAATCGAAGCTCAGGTCACTGGTTGCTAGGAACCTCAGATCGGTGACTTGATCGACTGCGGATAGAGGTGCGGTTGATATAATAGGTATGCCAAGTATTACTTCTTAAAGGTAAAGTACTTGGGTCTTGTCCTCAGAGAGAGGCAACTCCCAGTTATGTGACCGCTGCTAAGCCTTCTCTAGGGCCACAGGAAGAACTCTTACAATGTTGTCGTTGGCTGTCAAGGAGTAGAGTTTGAAGTCATCAGCGAAAGCGCAAGCTCCACCATTGCTTTGCTCAAGAATCGATATGAGGTCGTGTACATAAATGTTGAACAAGATGGGCGAAAGAACGTTGAACCTGCTTTTATCGAGAAGAGCACATGATAAATACATATCCTTGGCCCCTTCCCACCTCTTGGCAGATCGTAAACGGTCTTGCCGGTACGCGGATATCAAATAGACCAGGGTACTCGTCGCTGGGCAGGAAGATCACCCCACGGTCACCGTGTCATTATTCCGCATTGTAGTGAGACTATTAAAATGCTGTTACATGTGGTTACATATGAGACCAGTGCCTGACATAGGACTGACATAGGGTTCTTGATTGCTACAATACGATTTGTTGCGTAGTCAACCAAGGCACAATCTTTCCTCCTATCCACGAGCTGGGACTGACATGGGATTCTTGATTGCTACAATGCGAGGCGGGCTTTGTTGCGTAGTCAACCGAGGCACAAACTTCCTCCCATCCACGCCGATGGCAGTGGTTCGGAACGCTTTTCATGCACATGAAGCAAAACTATAGAATCTATGAGCTATAGAACTCCTATGCTATGCTCGCTTAACTTTGGTCTTCTTCGAAATTTCCGATATCTTTCACGTGTGAAGTCATCACGGATAATTTTCCAGGTTCTGCCGCAATGGAACACACACTCACAGTGCACCGTAACCACTCGCTAATTCAAGCACCTTTATCCTTCAAATGCCTCAATTTAAGCAACCCGCACCATTTGGCACCATATCCAATCCAAACTCGGTTCGTATGATCCACCTTAGCGTGCACGACTGGAAAGTATTTGGCAACATGCGTCCTCACATTCAACCAATTCTATCACACTTGGCTGTTAATAAGTCATAATGCAATATTTTCTACCTCGTCCTTAAGTTTTGCACACCAGTGTACTATCGCTATAAAAATGAAACCTCCAGAAGAATTAAATTCCAGAGATGTCTCAGGGCATCGGGAGTGATTGTCGCCAGTGAGGGTAGACAGGCATGAAATATAAGCGAATGAATAAAGTGTAAAATCATATATTCCTGATAAATGCAAAATCATACTCACTAGGTCGGTCATGGCGAGTAAGGTGAGATACGTATATACGATTGAAGATTTCCTCAACAATGGATGAGTCAGTGTGATGACAGTGAGTACGTCACCAATTATACCACAGGCGATAATGATCGGTGCAATGTAAGCGTAGGTAATCTTGAATGTAGATCATTAATCTTTGAATTATTTCATGACAACAGCAAAGCAACTGCTATGGTTACGTTTACCCTTTTTAGTTAGAAACTAGGTTCATGGAAAATTTTTTATTACGGCCGCTTTTATGGAAATTTCTTGAGAAACTTTGAATTAAAAACCCTCATTTTATGGTGCACAACACAGTGCGTTTCCATTTATGCAAGCAGCAGCCAACTGGTAAATTTTCCACTACCATCAAATGATTGCCCACTACGAGTAACCCCTGTATCGCAATTTTGGCAGGAGCAGCTTTTCTTCAAACTTTTTTATAATTATTTTTCGGTTTTTGCACCGTTTCATAATGTATGGTCACCCTGAGAAAAGAGCAATACCTAAGATTAATGACATAAAAATAGATAATGATCTATGGTAAGTCCTTTATCACGGGCAACACGAATAGTCTGTGTGGCCTACTAGGAATTGATATTCCAAGGCAGATGACCATTGATTTACCTCTGTGCTGTGCTAGTTCCTAACTGGCGTTTATCCGCATTCATGGGAAAGATGCCCTTGAGATATTCTACTAAAATACGACTAGAATTTCAGAATAAACTGTTCAGTTCATCTGAGGAATGCTGCTCCTGGTTGAGTGACCTGCGTGGGTACCTTTGCTGTTCTGTATGACTTGACTTATATGCTAGCCGACTTCATCAGCTGGGGAGAGAGGTCAGAGGTCCTTGCAAGACTCTATGTTGATCCCTGGGGCCCAATATGCAGGTCACGGAAATTTCGGCACAACACCATTACAACGGCCTTCACATCTACTTAACTAAAATAGCAGACGCTGATCCGCAGGGCCTGTCCGTTCAAGTCAGTTTTCTCCGAAACATACCAATCTTAGTGAAATTATCTTGCTGTGTGGTGCGATTGTAGCGCAGGTTCAACATTGCTCAACTTCTCTCAAAGTTCAATTTTACGGGTTGAAGTTGTGGCTCCTCGCAATGGCCAGTAAGCCTTCGGACCACCGTTGCCGCATTCCTTACAATGTCGCTGCTTCTTTCCAACGCTCTGCAGTTAGTTTCCGAGAAGAATCCTACTGTGCACATTGGGTTGATGCATAAATATTGCGGATTTTTTGCGCCTTTTTTTAAATAAAAAATTGACATTGCGCTTATTATTTCTTATGAGAACAATCTTCGCTCTTTCGTTAACAGATTACGCCACGAAACTCACCTCTATATTCTCCACATATGTTCTGAAACTTCGAGAGGTTGGAAGGCGGCAGAGTCATTTCGCGATCTCAACGAACTTTTCGCCGAGGAATTATCACCAAAAGCCAGGTTGAAATGATGGAATCTGCCATATTCATCGACCAAAGCTCCTATAGACTACCACGTCAATCGGAATTGAAAAAACTATCAAACGAACAAAATCACGATGACTGAATGACTTAGTGGCCGACGTGAAGCGTGAATTGCCTCTAAGAATCGTGACTTCTTCGCCCGTGGAATCGACTGGCTGCCAAGCAAATGAGAAGCAGTTATGAAGCGGATGGTGAATACGATCTAGGATCAGAAAGGATCGTTTAAGCATGTTTTTGTTAAATATTTTTATCGTTTTTGCCATAAAATTTGTTGGAAAAAAGCCGCAATAGTTATGCGTCATCCCAATAATTCGCTAAGTATGTCTGCGTGTGTGTGCGTCCGTTTGTCACAAAATCATAGCACGCTTCGCTGTAGCCATGGAGCGCTGTATTTCAAGTATGGTGTAGGGGGTGGGACGGAAAGATATCTGGTGAAGGTCGAAAGTGACAAAGACTGATTAGAGCTAAGGGGCGCTAGAATGCAAGTTTCACGAACTTCATCAGTGGGGCGTTGGTTCCAGGAAGTGAAGTAGAGGCTGGGACGGAAACATATTTAGTTTGGGTCAAAAAGTGGTAAGGGCTGACACTGGTGATATACGTGAGATTATAGAGGTCGCCTAAAACCAAATCCCAGATGAGAACCAAACTCATTCCCATTCCCTTCATTGCGTTTCATCGTCTCGATTTCCTTTCGACCGCTATTCTGCCCAGTGTTGTTAAGAGTGTATGATGAATATTTAGAGAAATACCATAATGACCACTGGGTATTTCTAATAGGCTGTCCCATAAATAGTGTCGCTTTTTTCAAACAAAAATTTTTCTTCTGAACTCTCAAGCTTTTACACCATGTTATTAGGTTGTCCGGAAATTAATGCCGGTTTTTGACCTCCGTCTTCAAAGCAACATATCTCAGCTCAAACTCAACATTTTCAATAATTCAAAAAAATGTTGGAAACTAATCATTTTTCTTAACAGGAAGCGTACTGGTTTAATTAATGACCTCGAGATACAGGAACAACAGAAGCTCAAATATCGGCCAGTCTTTTCCATCATGTCTCGGTTTTTAAATCTTTTTATCCCCAAGAAGCTGTCAAGATTGCCGCAAAACAGGAGGTTGGTGAGGGTGAGATCCTGCGAATGCACTGTAAGAAGCAAAGCTGGGTAGCTTACGAAGACCTTTGTGCGACATGTGGCTGGGCGTCAACATGGAGAACAGTTCTTTTCATCCTTCTGGTTAGAGGCCTTGCTCTTTACGGAGCATTATATCGAAGTTATGGACAGACATTAATGCTATACCAAAATCCCCTGGGTTCAGAAAGCTGCGATGCATCATTACTTCGGAAGGCCACGAAACCATCAGCATGACCCTCACCTCGTAGAAATTCTAATTTGGAAAAAGTTTTTGATGTTTTGGAAAATTGCACTATTCTATAGCGGAGGGTCTTACTTCCGCCGAGAATGACGAAAAGTTCCAGAGTCGGACATTTTTGTTGAGCAAAAAAGTTGTGAAAAGATCCCTGCAAGGTGACTTTGCTGCTGCTCAGTCAGTTCATGCGGTACCCACTTGTCCAGCTTTCTTACCTTCCCAGGTACCTTCAGGCGCTCCAAAAATTTCAGTATGCTTGCTCAAGGTTATGCTGCTGGCTGCCGTACACTTGGATAGACTACTTCTGCCGGGTCTTCAGAAGGCCGCCATCAGGAGGAGAATGTCGTCCGCATTCCCCCTCACTTCGAATCTAGATTTCCCTCAATTGAAAGCTTCGGAGCCATCGAAGCAGTGTTCTTTTATTGCAACATCCTCAGCCCCACACAGCAATCCTATTCCGTGCTGTCCGCACAGCATCCTCTCCAAATTTCAACTCATAAGTGAACCAGCTGAAACCACTACTTTGACGCCTTCACTTCAAACCTTTGAAAAAAAAGTGAGGCGCGAGTCCCATCAAAATACAATGGGTGTGCAAGAAAGAGAATGAAATGGGCTTTCCAACGATATGCAATAGTACAGCAATCGTATGGAAATTTCTCGGAAAAATATCAAATAAAATATGAGGCATTGAAACCGGCATTAATTTCCGGACAAGCTAATATGTACCATTCGAACGAGAATTGTCTGCTCTACACGATGTTATGTTCTTCTTCCATCCCTGTTCCAAGGTTTTCAAATTTAAGGCCTGCGAAATGGGAGGTCTAGCCGACAGCAATTGATCAAACCGGCAACTATCTCTAACTTTACCTTTTCTTAGGAGCAATCAATCAGTGATGTACCCTACACTTACAGATGACCTCCTCTAAACGTTACACCATTAGGTTTCCCAGCGAGTCGCGCCGTTCTATTTCCAGACCTGGAGATCTAGGTCGAAATTTTTTACGGCCAAGACATTGAAAAACTAGCAGAATTTGAGGAACTAGTCATGACTAAGTTAGGAAAGTACGCCTAGTTGATTTTCTCATCTTCTCAGGGATAATTTTTTTCAACAAATGCGGTCACTTTCGTGGATGAAGCACATTATTCCTAAACACCTAAAATTCGAAATAATTCCCAACAAACATAAAAATAACACAAATTAGCGAATAGAGCAGAAGAAGTGCTCACAAAAGGAACGCCACTCGATATGCAACAATGGCGTTTTCGAGGAACAATTTCAATTTGAAAATTGCTATGGCTTATCAGTCAGCCAATTGGGAAAGGAATCACGGCAAAGCTCCTTCGGCAACCTAACAGTGGATGTTTTGTTTAAAAGAGGTTATGAGTAAGTAGAGAGTACATCATTGATTGATCTCTCCCAGGGAAAATAAAGTTAGAGCTAGTTGTTGGTTTGGTCAATTTTGTCGACGGGACCTCCCATTTCGCAGAGCTAAAATTTGAAAACCCTGGAACAGAGGTGAAAGAGGAACACAAAATCTTGTAGAGCAGACAATTCTCTCTCGAATGGTATATGACATAATGTAAAAGCTTGAGGAGTTTAAAAAAAAGCGACACTATTTATGAGACAATCTAATATTTTAATATTATATCATCACCATAGATATCATTCAACCGCTTAGTTACCCCACCTTTCAACGCATGATGGCTGTTTACACACACCATTTTAGATCTGCTCTCTATCGCGCGTAACAAACGGTGAGCTTCAGTAAAAATGGTGTTTCAATGGGAAGGTCGGCTAGGGCATTTCTCGATGCAACTTAGGGTTTCATCTTTAGCGGTGGGACCTAGCGTTCCCCAGGCTATCCGATTTCATGAAAAGTACCGTTTCGCGGGCGCGGTAGCTTGCGGAGCTAAATGACGAGCGAGCGTAGTTTCGGGCGTAAGTACTGTCTGGGGCAGCCCATACACCTTTTCTCTAATCATTGATAGGAACCTTTTTGTGGATGTTCGGAATTTGTAGAATATCTGCAGGCGCAGGAACTTTACAATTACCCGTGAGTAGAGCTAAGCACTTTCCGAAATGCTTGGAAAGATTCCCGAACCGTGCCGAGCGCCATGAAATACAAAAACTTCACCTTTGCTTCAGAAGACGAATACCCATTACAAATACTAATACAAATTAATTTGTAAAATTAATAAAATAAATAAATTTAATTTTAATTACAAATTTGAGAAATTTAGTTCCTTAATGTATAATGTTTTTGTTAACAAATATTCAGTTTCACATGTTGTTTGTTTTTTTCTTGTTCCTGATAATGTAGTATTCATTTTCACAGAGACCTTATACATATGTATTATGAAATGGTACAGAAACCGAAAAATAATTATGAAAAAGTTGAAAGAAAAGCTGCTCTCGCCAAAATTGCGATCCAAGGGTTTTTCAAAATGTGGAATCAGCTGGGAATACTAGAAGAATTACCAGTCAGCTCCTCGTTCAGGAAATGCAAAAGTTTAGGGCGACCTTGTAATTCCGAAACGCACTGTATGTATGCAGAAAATGGAACACATTAGCCATCAGATGAAGCACTTGATTTCTCACCCTTTTCAAATTCCACACTGGCTCATCACGATGAGTACTGTAATGCAATTCTGAATACCAGTCAATCGAGGAGTTCGAGTTAATCAGTGCGCAAATACGATGGGAAGATGACATTTCGTTCGCAGTTTGTCGTAGACCTTGCATCGATGAATAGTTTTCCAAATTAGATAGCATAGAGTGCGAGACAACACGAAAAATAATAGAGACCTAATCCAGAGTACCTTTCGTCTCTTTGAGGAAACCTGAAAGTCATTATTTATATGCGCCATGCATAGGTCACAAAAACCCAGTGCAACGGGCCCAAAAGATACTTCAATTTGCGATATAGGATTCTTCTTCAAACCTCATGTGAAAGTACAAACATGACTATTTTTCGACGACATCCCTTTAATCAGTTTGAGTGCTCGCTAGAGAGCCTGAATATTGTGGCTTCTAACGCTCCTTAAGCTTTCCACAAAACTAAGTTTGAAGAAAATTACGATGTTCGGAAGTCGTATGTGCACGGATAAAAGTGCAAGCGTGCCAGTTTCGGATCAAATGAACTTTTAGAAGACATGAGTAAATTTTGTTTCGGTTTACAAGAGATGCCTTCCAAACTGTGAGTTACGTCGAAAGAATATCTAAACATATACAAGCGCACAAATATAAGGATTTTTACGGTGTGTGAGCTCGCATGGTGTAGAAGCCCAGGCTTATCTATCGCAAATTAGGGTAATTATAAGGAAGCGGCAGTGTAGTCGATGCAGAGTCGTCTCCAAAAAATTCGAAGCATTAGTGAGATTGCGAAAATTCGGGGTCAAAACGGCTGTGCGTCCCTCGAAAAAATAAGGACTACTAGTGCCTTGATGCCTGGGTTACGAATGCTGGCAGGAAGGAGCGCTTTTAACATCTTGGAGCCCATGCAGCCCATATGTGGCCGCATTCCATCGAGCGCAGGACCTTACAGCCCATATCTCGGAAAAGAATATTGAGTTTCTCTTTTATTTTCCCCTCCATTTCATTCGATAAGGTTTCTTCTGCATCGCACAGCATGTTTTTCTTTTCAATGCGCTTAACAAGATTCCTAAAAATTTCACTGAAGTCCCACGCGGCCGCAAAACGTAAAACATGCGCGGTCTCAACGTGTTCAAGCTCCCTTTTTCACACGCCAAAGTGTGTGAAGAGGAATTTTGCCGATTCTTTCTGCACACTGCTAGCACTGTTGTGTCACAATGACCGTGTAAGGTATCACAAAATAGGTTGTATCTTGATCATGTTGTAACAAGCACTCATCGGTACAGGGAAAGCTCTTAACGGATGCGTTCGGAGCATGTCTGAGAATACTCAGACAAAAAAGTTTGAAAAAAGAAAAATATTAGGAATCATACATCACAAGAAAGAGTGGCAAATAGTGAGCCAGCCTTGAAAAATCGCACAGCCGAGCTTACAGAGTTGCAGACAGTTTTTTTGTTTGCCATTTCTAGGTGCTTTTTGATTGATGTGTTCAATTCTTTTAACGGTAAGGGGACATGGTGTGTTATTTTGCTAGGAAATACTTAGGGGCTCATCCAGTAAGGGGGGAGCATTGTGGTGCACTGTCCGCTTTAAAGGACGAATTCACGATGAAAAAGCAACCCATTTCAAATCAATCAAGGGATGGTGAGTGCTACACGAAAGAAGGAAGAACTGAGAAACGGCCCCGAACCCGAGAAATGGGACCCCTTCCTTGCCCGTTAATTTGAACATTGATGCGACTCTCATCGCTGTGCCCTCTTCAACACTACGCTCTCTCAGCTATCTAATCACTTGCTACGTATTGAACTACGGCGAGTGATCAGATGATCGGTGGGCGGAGATCGCCGGATCCGCCAGCTTTGAGGCATGATAGGTCACCGAGGTCAGAATTTTCCATGCGAATTGCGCGTCAGTTCACACCCTCAGGAGGTCCGTGGGTCCCTCACCTAGGTCAGATTCCCTTTCTTTGACCTTCATTCTAATCGTGAATTCCTCCTTTAATGCCAAATTGGTCCGAGGAGTCCTTTGAAGTTGCGAGCTGCTATATGCTTTTTTCCTATATTATTTCTTCAGGTGGTTTATGTAATGTATGTGTTTTTATACTACATGACATTAACGTCTACGCAAAGTAGTATTCACCTTGTCAACAGGTCAGGACTAAGCGTAGGTGATGGGAGTCCCCCCGAGAAAACGAATACTGCTCACGAACCCGGAGGCTCCCTCCCTTCTAAGGCTTAGTCCTGATCGTTTACAATAAATCAATATGCTTCCCGTTGGTTTTAAGTGTCCTAAATCGCAATGCCCCCACCCTTACCAAGTGGAACCCAATACTTATACCTTTACTTTCACCTTTTACATTTCACACAGCTTTCCTTGCTTCTGTCTTTAGTTTGATGTTCAACAAAAGTGGGACTCGCATAAGTATACAGCAAATAAATAAATAAAATTGGACAAGGACTGTGTAGAAGGGTATAAGTGTAAAAAAGCCAAAAAAAAAAACACCGTAGAAATCCATAAAAATTTTCTCGCGAAGTCGACTGCGGTACGACGGAGGGACAGTGCGTTGCGAGGAGAGGGAAGACGCGAAATAGCACGTCGAGCGCGAGAAGGCGCTGACGACACATATGCTGCGATTGGCAAGCGTGGCAGCGGTCACAGCGGAAAAACGAAGGCGTTAGCTCTCGTGACACGCACTTTCTATCAAGGCAGTACCACCACCAGCTCCCTCAGTGAAGCAGAGATTTTTTTGAGGATCTCATCGCGAACTATGCCTTCAAGAAGATGCAAACTCATACTACCTGACTATCACAGTTTGATGAACAGAACGGAAACGTTGTCTAGTGTAAGACGACGAAGGGCAATTTGCACGAGAAATGTAGAAATTACGGTGCCAATCTCGCCTGTCATGTGACCTGAAATGACGGCTAAAATTAAGGAATGACAAAAATAAAAAATAAATCAAGTGTGCATCATCATGGAAACTTGAAAATATATATTTCTGTCAAATGGGTACTGCTACTGATTTACTTTTAGGAATTGTGTAAAATGTACATCAAATCACAGGGTTGAAAATCATAATTAAGTTATGATTACCTTCTTCGAGAAGAATATCGTGAGACAGTATGGGTCGAAATACAAGGGTTACTGGTGAGTATTATTGAGGTCTAAAGACAATCAAAGGCTCCGTCTATAATGAAAGCTTCAACCAAGCCAGCCCAAGCATGCCTTCAATCCCTCCGGGATCGATTAATTGGTAACAGATTTTCTGGGAGGACAAGAACACTGACTGAGTTTCGGTTGTAGGTCACAATAAGGGCCACATGTCACTAAGGTCCCCAATGAAAGTAGAGATCCTAGTTGAAAAATATTTGTCAACGTCGCTTTCTTTATCTTCCGTTGCTGTTATTTTTAAGCGCCGGACCGCAAGATCTTGAAGGACTCCATAAACTGATTGTTGGTTTTCTGCTAGGACTGCTAACTCAACTCCTTGAAAAGGTGTAAGATTTTGAATGGATCGTCTTCAGGTGCACTAAGGTCAACTTTCTTGTGACGGCCACTAATTAGAATTAGTAAATATCCTCCCATTCAAAAAGCGAGAAAGTGTCGGGTGCACACCAGGTACCACAAGTGACGACGGCTTCCAAGTGAATATACAACTGCAGCATGTTAATCATTTTATTGGCAAAAAACATTTACGTTTGGTAAAGACCGCCGTCACACGTGGTGTATGGTCTGCATCCGACGCTTTCTCTTTTTTGAAAGGAAGGGTAGATGTTGCAGAAGCGGATTATCCTGAAGAAACTTTCGAGCAGGGTCTTTGAAGAGGACGATTGATTACTAACGTCAGACCATTCCAACAAACGCTCCACTAATCAACTTTTGAAAACCCAAAAAATCAACCCTTACCCCTACAATGGCAACATGAAAAGAGACTGGGAAATCCGTGATGCGGGTTGAGAAGCATTTTAATGTCCTTACATATTGGCAGCAGAACCAAGCATCAAACCAGTCCTTATGCGCGTTGGATTTTGGGGCATACAAAAACTCGTTGTTCAAGTTTTTTTGAAAAGGTGATCTACAAAAAACGCGTAAGATATAAAGGCAACTGTGAGTGAGAGCGAACTTCATCAGGCCAATACAAAAATTTTCTTGATCATTACTGAGGGGAATTCACTTAATACTCTACAATGACTCATCCACTTAATGCTTCTCTACGCTTTCCATTTCTGACCGACGGAAACGCTTCGCTGTTATTTTTTTTTGAGTGATGGCAAGGAGGGCCGTTGTTGCGCTCCAGAAAAGGGCAATCCACCGCAAAAAATAACAACAAGCATTATCAAGGAACAATGGCTTTCGCCTAAGTCAAAGGCTCGTTAATTTCAATTACACTATGTCGCGTCAATGTCGCGCAGTGTAACTCATTTATGTACGGGGCGGGCAAAAAAAGGTAACAAGAACACTCTCGGACTATATTTAAATTTAGTGGATGTATCTGATCAAGAAGACTCATTACAGAAAACCCTGGACATTTTAGAAAAATAGACCGTTGGCACGCAAGGCGAAAATTGTGCAGAATTGCTGCAGCAACAATTTTCAGAATGAACGACAAAAAACGAGTAGTATATAAATCTCCCACTCAATGCTTGACGGGTTATGTTGTTTGGAATTTGCTGAAGATGTAGACTTGGTTCACGTATCAATACAGACAGGGGCTACTCCGAGAAGTAGTCACCGCTTTCAGATGGATTTAGTCCCACTTTGCTCAATTTAAACCGAATGGTCCCAAACTATTTTTAAGAGCGGATTTCATTCTGTAAGAGAATCTTCAATCTTCATACTGGCCACCTACGTGGATGGCATCAGAACCCCAGAAACATGGTGTACGACTGGTCGAGCTTAATGGGGTCTTCAGGATCGTGTACCATAACGAGCTTTACTGAAAAGCGCGTTTCGAAGGGGTTTGCATATTGGGAGCTAACGCCTCTGGAAAACTATCCAACATTGAATCTCACGAAATTACGCTAGATCTTCAGGCTGAAGCAGTTACGGTAGGCCTCCTTGTGCTTGACGACGATAACAGATGACGTTTCTGAAGATGGTGAGGGCAATGAAGGAGGGCCTGCGTCTAGTCATAGGACACCTAGGAAATACTCTGCCGAGGAGCTTCTGTCAACGACGGTGATCTCTGCGAATAAGAATAGCCCGAAGTGCGACATGGGCAAAATGTTCTTTTTTTGGCCCCTCCCGTATTTTTTGTTCGTAGGTGTCTTCATACATGCACAGGAGTGGTGTAGTGGCAAGTGGAGCTGCTTACCACTCGTGTGGTCCGGGGATCGAATATTTGCGGGCTAACCAAGCTTTCCATGCCTGCGGGGTCGGTTAATTCGTACCAGTTTTGTCTGCAAGGACCAAAAAGCTGACTTGCGCATGCTGGCCCCGCAAGTCATGGTATGGGCCAAATCGCCTTCAATTACCACTATGAATGTACAAATAGGAGTAGAATGCGTGCCGCATCAGTAGCTTGACTATTTACAGTGGCTAGAGTCGTAGAGACCCTTACCAATGGTGTTCAATGCCGTCAAATCCAAAATCATCGAATGATACCCAAAAACTGACTCAAAAGCACCAACCAGGCAGAAGTCGTTTGAACGATTTCTTTCGGTTTGTGGGATAGAACCATAGGGGACAATCACAAATGCGGAGCACCTGGGCATAGAAGTCGCCTGAGAAGGGTGTCAGGGCGTTGCAAAGTTAGCTGCAGCAGCTGCAATTTTCACCGTCCGCAAAGGCTGCTGTTTGGCACCCTCTCTCCTGTTGCCCTCTTCGCCTCACACTGTTCTCTCGACCACGCTGGAACTTTGAAGTATTCGAATGTTAACAAGGATCACCTCAAGTAATCGATGGCGAAATTTACAGCCTCCTCGCTTGACACGACATCCCAGAAGCCGTCTGTTCCAACAATCAGAAATCTGTAATAGTTCTAAACGTAATCTCAAGGGTAATGTTCGTAGACTGATTGGCACAATTGAATGCGATATAAATCAGCTTTCCATTCACTTCAATGGTTTGGAATCGAGATCAATACGTAGAACGTCAGGATGAGCAGTGATAACGCCGAGCCTTTTGAGCAGAGTATCTCCAAACGATCTAAAAATTTCTTATAATCTCTACCAATGAAAAGATGTCAAATCACAAAGGGCACAATCCAACAATCCAACAAAATAGATAGGGAGAACTACAGCTTCAATTAGAAACAAGTGAGATTTAAGGCTTCCCTGGACTTCTTTAAAATATGGTGGGCGGTTGAGATAAAACCCACTGTCTTTGACCTCAACCGCCACCCAAATCGCCTTTCCTTTAAAGGCAAGATTCAGGATTGAATCGATGAGGTAATTCCACTCAAATGTGAAATTAGGAGTGGGAATTATACTGCTTGGAGAAAAAAAGAAAAAAATCGTGAAATACACGGCAAATACGAGCCTTTTTTTCTTCGCTGCGGAAAAGGTCAAAAGGCCGGCAGGGAGATGAGAGAGAATGTGAGCGCGGAGAGCGATAGAGAAGACCGAGTATAGAGAGAGCATAGCAGATCATCATTGCGACGCACATAAGATAAGATACCGAGCGATGGGCGGAGTATGACAGTATTGGTGGAGTCTGCCAAAGTCCTTAGCGCCTAGCGTCCAAGTAACCCTTTTCGATATAGGGAAGTAAAGCAGCCTCTGCAACTGCGTACCTAGCGCTTTTAGCCATAATAAAGGCTCATTAGATGGGTCTGAGCCCGAACTATGCCTTTAACCTTTCCTATACTGGGGCATATTCAACTTATTTGTGAATCACGTTGTTTATGATTATGTATGTATGTAACATTGTATGCTCTGAAGGATGAAGACAAAAACCGGGGAAGGAATCGCGCAGTCAAGATACAAATGAATGTAAAGGGTGTGGCACACATAGTCGCCACAAAGACCAATGCAGCCCGCCGACATCCATAGTTGTCGCGCCGTCGTCACCGTGTTAAACATGCAATATAAAGCGCAACAGTGAAGTACTGCTTGATGTTTTAAAGCTCCTGCCCAAGAAAGTATCGCTCGAGGAAGCCACGGACGAATTTTCCATGAAACTCTTTATTTCAGAAGCAAAAAATCTTAAAAAGGCATGCAATATTACAATCCACAACATACAACTGGTTCTGCGATCCACAAATCGTTACGGAAGCATTAGAGGGGCTTACAGAGGCTCCCTAGATTGAAAATTTTGTGACGTCACTGTCAACGATGGGAAAACAGCAAAATTCTGCTGCGAATTATTTCTTCCAGGAAAAAATTATAATAGGAGAGCCGGGTATTTGAAAAAATTTACGGCCCAAATAAGGCGAAAATGCTTCCATGGAACGGCCTATGCACATGATGTCTTAGTGAATGCTTCCTCTTGTGTCTCTACAGTGTGACCGGGCATGAAGGAAGATTCAAATGCTATAGAAAGGAGAAACAGTAAGAACATAGTAGGGCTTTAAGGAATTAACACATTGGAAAACCATACAATTTTCCAGTGTCCCTAAAAATGCATCCAGTGCTGGAACATACCTATAAAGCGGCTATGCCAAAAGAATTAGATCTAAATGCGGAAATTTCAAACTTCGTTTGTCTCAAACCATTGCTGATTGCCTTCAAGCTATAAAAAAAGTTTCTCTCTATTTCCCGGGAAAACCTCGAAAATTCCCAAGTTTCCACCTCAGAGTGCGAAAATGGGATGGGATCAGGGTTTCCTTTTGCCAAAAGTTGTATCACAGCACGATAAACCTGTATAAAAAGATCCCTACGATCCTTAGCTAAGAGGAACACTTCCGAGCCTCCATTTGGCAATTAACCCCCGCGAAAGACTTGCACACATCATCTCTATATGTATCACATTTCATTCCTAGTTAACATAAGGCGGGGGGGGGACAAAAAAGGCATCACTCACATTCAAAACAGAATTAATTGCACTTTTTAAAACCAAACCAAATGTGCTCAATTGCATATTGAAGAGCCTATGCTATTCTATCGAAAAATTACTAGGGGCTGTCTACACCGACGAAATCAGAAGATTTTCCCACGGAAACATGGTTCGCGGTACGAGCTCAACGATGTCCTTGAGGGACCATAGACGATTACAACGTCACTTGAACGCTGGTCAAAAGCCATGTTGCATATTCAGAGCTAGTGTCCCTGAGAAGCCATTCACCAGTTGTCCAATTGAAGAAATTATGTAGCAGCTTCAGAATGGAGCGATTATGATAGGCCTCCTTGGTCTCGACGGTGATGATGGATGACGTCATATTTTGGAGACGGTAAAAGCAGCGAAGGTGGGCCTGACTCTGCTTATGGGAGGGTATCTAAGGAATGATCCGCCGTATGACTCCCAATAATAGCGGCACCCTTTGTGACGAAAAGTTCGATGATATGCGCCATGGGCAAAGTGACTCTTTGTTTGCCCCCCTCCTCCCTGTATATTCGCTAGAAATTCGGAATTGGCGTAAAAGAGTTAGCCCAGCGCTGAGTGGTATTGCCGCCAATGAGTTTGGGATTCTCAATTCTTCAGCAATTCAGTGACACGAAACGAAAAACTACACAAGGAACTCCTGATTCAAAGGCAGTAAACACAATGACTGGAAGCGCTTTTGACGACGTAATTGGGAGTCTGATGAAAGACCACTGGAAGGTGGTCAAAATCGCCCATTCCAGCGCCTGAGTGTCCAGTCCACCAGTGACGTCTGAAGGCGTCATCAAAACCACTTTACTCAATCCACTCCAGCCCTTTATTGCCTTATATGAGGAATTCACGATAAGAACGAAGGTCAAAGAAGGAGAAATTCACCTAGTGGAGAGACAGGCGAACCTCCTGAGAGGGAGAACCAGCATAAAATCTGCATCCCGGGCGATCTAATGTGGCCTTTCCTTTGGCGCAGTTGGCGGGGTACGCCCACCGACAATCTAACCACTCGCCGCGTGTCTATACGTGTTGAGTGATTAGATAGCAAAGTGAGCGTAGTGTTGAAGAGGGCACAGCGATGAGAGTCGCATCAATGCGCAAATCAACGGGCAAGGAAGGGGTCTCATTTCTCGGCGTCTGGGCCGTTTCAAATAATTTCTTCTTCATCCCTGCTCCATTGATCACCTTACCCTCATTTCCAATTAGCTATTTTTACAGTAATTTCTGCCTTTAAAGGCATGGACTCGAGATCGAATGGGTGCGTAATTTTGTCCAAAACCAGACGAGATGTGCGACAAGGGAAGTTAGTGGGGAAATGCATAAAGCACCTGGGGAAACACTGATATCCGGCTCGTGCGGTCGACCGTAAGACGACGAGAGACACAGCGAGAGGGAAAACGCGAGAGAGCACGTCGTGCGTGAGAGGGCACCGACGTCACGTTTGCTGCGCTTAATGGTGACAGCGGTAGCAGCGGTCGAGCGAAAGCGATCAATTCATGCACTTCTAGATGGGACTGTACCACCACTCTTGTGATTAGGAGCTCTGCTACCTCACCCAGGGAGAGAATTTCGTTGAGGATCTATTCACGGCCTCTGCTTTTAAGCATTGTTTTTGGGGGCATACCGCCTTGCTAAAGTTGCACAAGAATGCTGGGTAATCGGCAAATGTGCCCATAAGCCAGCGTTCTTATAGTACTATATACACGGTATATCTCGGTTGTGAGATCTCCGAGGAAGTTAGTTAGAAAACGACATACATAACCTAAATTTGAGGAGGAACACTTGACGTTTGCTCCTTTAGAATGCCTTTCTCAGAACTGCTAAGTTATGCATTGACAAAGTAACTTTTTGGGAGCATTTCCTGCACCAATATACTCTCTCGTTTCCTTTTTGATACAAAAACTAGTTTCTGAACGAACAAAGATACAAAGATTATTGCTCAGAATCTGACAATTTCTAACAAATGAATCGTTAAAACATGAGCGACAGACGCAGAAGCACATCGGCTGGGCTAAGATCTCGGTTGTAGTGCTCAAAATGGCGCTCATCCGGTAAGGGGGGGGGGGTGGCATTGTGATGCAATGTCGAGTGGCTGCCTTCACCCCCACCCCCTAGACTGCCTTCACTTCCCCTGGCTCACGGAGTCCCGTACTTCGATAAACCTCTGCGCCAGGGGGAGTGTAGGTAGTCTAGTAGGGGGGGGGGGCCGGGCAGCCACTTGATGCCCCCCTTACCGGATGAGCGTCCTCAATAGTGCTTGTACAACAACACACTTGATTTGTGAAGAGTTGACGCTTTAACGGATTGAACCGCTGCAACGTCATAACTTCGTTCAAAGTGAATGAAATGAAAGGAAGTACTGGGCTGTTGCGAAAGTCCCCGCCGACACTGAATGCATCGCGTGAAACAACGGTTTCGTGAGAAGTGAATGGCATTGCCTCCTTCAGATGTAAATTGTATGACCACGGTTCTCATTTATGTTGTATGGAGTTAGTGCAAAAGCAGTGAAGCCAAGGATTCATTTTCGCGATTTGAGACCGTTTTACTACCGAGGGACAAAAAACCCTTCTGATCACGGAAGCAGTATATGGGCTTTCGAAGACAATGCTGTAATTAGACGAGCCTTGTGCTGGTAATTATTAGTAAACAAACACAGTGAATTCATCTTTGAATGCCAGAAAAGCTCGGTAGGCCATCCACGGTCGATGATGAGCGAACCAACGCATCACTCATCATAAACTGCCACTTTTACAAGCACAAAGGATAAATAGAACGAGTCCAGCAATCCATCATCATTTGATATGGCTACGCTTTATTACTTACCCTGAAGTAGGACTCCACGATAAGCCCGAAAAAAGAGAGAAGTTACCTGGTAGAAGGCTCTTAAAGGATACGGATCGACCGCAATACGCAGCGGGATGTGCTCGCGGCGATGTAGCATGGCAGTCCTCGCGGCGCTATCGGCGCGGCACGCCCACCAACTGATTGAGTGCTCGTCGCAGCTCCCTAATCGTTTAGTAAAGGAGCTTTGGCTTTGAAGAGGGCAGCATCAAACACTCGATCAGTGTGGAATAAATGTGCAGGAAAGGGGTCCCACTTCTCGGGTTCTAGGCCCTTTATCATGGTTTTCTCTTCATTCCGGCACCACTGACCACCTTCACCTTGATACTGGTGG